TAACTCTCCACACTTTATTGTTCTTTCGCAGGCTCCGGGGACCTTTCAGAGGCTGCCACTCCATTCCCTAGTTTAGCTCAAGGAGGGACCAAAAGGCCTGGTTGATTTCCAGTCTCCTGTTTCGCCACCTGTTATCAAAGGCGCCCTGCAAGATGCTCCTCTCTGGATGCGGTGCCAGGCCGCCATCGTAATGACAGGTCAGCGCAGAGGTTAGGCTGCTGGCTGAGTGGCTATTGTTTATCCCAGTTTCAATTTCATCGTCATGACAACCCACACAAGTCATTGTCGGGGTGGCCTCTGTGGGAAGGTGCGTGAGCAAGAGCCTCCACCCTGCTCGCTGCGCCTGATGGTGGGACCGCTCTGCGCTCCTGCGGATGCCCCTTTCTTTTTTCCATGTGTTGGGGTGATATTATTTTCTCCACCACTTATCCAGAAATTGTTTTTGAAAAGTGTCTCATTTCAAGTGAATTTGGCCCAGAGTGATTGAGAACATCCATCGGATTTGTTCTCTCCATTGTCAGGCTTCTCCTGGGGGATTAGAGCTGGGTAACCTGAGGTTGGGGGGGCTGGGCGCTGGGTATGGGGGGAGGGATCTGCCTGCTTCACACTCACAGCCTCTGAGGGAAGACCTGGCAGAAGCTCTACTCCCACAAGTAGTGTGGAGTATCTCACGGCAAAACCTGCCTTGCCGTGTCTCCCTGTGAAGGGGCACCCCCTTCTTGAAAATTTCAAAAGACAGATGGCTGGTGTTTCTGTTTTGCTCTATGACTCTGAGAAATCCCTGTGCCTGCGTGGGGCTGTTTAGACATCAGCTCTGGAAGGAACGTCAGTGAGCCTTGGAAGAAGAGGACATGCTTCTGTTAAATTTTTCTTTTGGGTCTTCACCTACTTTATGATTCTGAAAGCTGATATTCCTTTCATTTAGGAAGCAAGTGCAAAAGGCCTCTTCTTCACGCTGGCTTGGTGATGACTCTGTGGGGAGGAAGGTGGGTCTTCCTCACATGCCCTGGTGAGGAAGCAGGCATGCTTCTGAGGAGGTATCCTGTCTATGGACAGCCCTCTGCAGGGAGCAGCTCCCCTGAGCTACAGGATCACCTGTTTGGGCCAAACTGATGGCTTATTTGCCTGAATAGAATAGTTCAGAATTTTTTTTCCTTCTTTTAGACATTGGGATTGCTTAATCTGAAGGAGGAATAGGAGGGATGGGGGGGGAGCTACTTCAAAGTCTTCCAATCAAGGAAGGTTATTATGGAGACAGGTGCATCCACTGCTGTGGGAAAGACCAAGGTTAGGCCCATTGTCCTGGCCCCTCTGTAGTCTTGGGGGGCGGGTGTGACAGAATCGAGCCAGGCGGATAGGAGGGGGCACCATGTAGGTAGGGAAGTCAAGTTCCTATAGGATCTCACCGTGTGAGAAGGTGGTCAGATTTGGGGGCTAGGTCAGCAGCATCAGTCCATCCAGGAGCCAGGCGTCTTCACCTTTGTTCATTCCTCACAACTCTTTGGAGTATTGTCTATGTGCCTGGCACTGTTCTAGGTCCGCACAAGTGAGTAGTGAGTGGAACAGACAAAGGCTCCAACCCTAATTGTCCTTTACTTTCTACTGCAAGAGCCAGATAATAAACAGATCATTTTAACACTTAGAACTTCATATGTAGCAGGGTCCTTAGGGGAGGGCCAGAGCGGGTATGAGAGTGTCGCAGTGTAAGATGGATGAGATGGTCAGGGTAAGCCTTTCAGAGGGGATATCTCATCAGGAAATTAAAGTTGTGAGGGTTAAGCCAGGAGAAGACCCAGGCGGAGGGAACAACAAGCCACTGCCATGGCCCCTAAAGGCTGGAGGAAAAGGGAGGCCTACGTGCCTGGAGTGGGTGATGAAGGGGGATCAGAGGGGTGAGGTTCAAGAAACAAGGGGGTCCTCCCAGGTGGCCTAGAGGTTAAGGCTCAGCGCTACCAACTCAACAGCCTGAATTCGATCCCCAGCCAGGAGTTAACCCACCTATGGCGCAGCAGACCTCTCCTGTCTTGCCCGCTGCTCCCCTCAGCAGTGTATTTCAGGGGAACTGCCTGTTCTGCTCCCCACTCTTACTTTGGTGAATCCTCTCACCACCATCCCCCCATACCTCTGGACAACACCCAGTTCTTCTATGCAAAAATAAATAAATAAGATTTTTAAAAAAAAAATAAAGGGAAAGAAAGAAGAGGGAGTCAGATAATGCTGGGCTTTGCAGACATAGAGGGTTTTCCGGAGGCAATGGGGCCTAGGAAGAGGTTTGATGGATGAGGGAGATGGTCGATAGGTTCTTATAGGATCCTCCGGGCTGCTGTGTTGAGAATATATTGAATTTTAGACATCATCTGCTTAGACGAGGGTCTCACTTTGTCCTCTTCTCTGGACTAGAGAGGCCCTCATGGTTACCATCTGATTATCTAAACTACTAGGATCAGAACACTTCCAGGAAAACATTGGAATATGAAGCATGAATTTGTGTCTATGAGTGAAGTTATGGAGAGGTCAGCTTGACCCAATGGAGGCAGGACCCTGCTTCATCTATATGGCCTGGCATTAGGGGTACCAACCACGGTGACTCTGACACCCAGGTCTCCACCCTGATCAGATTCTCCTAAACCCCTGTGGTTTCTCTTTGCACTTGCGTGCCCCCTAGCCCTGCCTGGTACTGCCAGAGTGTCTCCATTCAACCATGGGTGCCTTGTTCAGGGCTGTTGCTTGGTGAAACAGGCATAGTTACAGGTCCTCCTCTAAACAGTACCTCCCTTTTTTAACAGTGTGGTATCCATAGAAAGGGAAGGTTCCAGGTTTCTTGCCCCACCCAAGGAAGAGTAGAGCTGAGCAGGGAGGAGAAGCTAGAGAGACTGGGAGAAGGAAGGCAGGGGGACAAGAAGACCTGGAGGAGGCACATGGGGCAGAGAGACATGTGAAGAAGTGTCCTTGTTTCTCAGCCTTGGACTTGTGCCAGAGATTTGGAGGACATGGAAGGAGACACTTGAAAGAGACAGAGATGTGGGTGAGAGACCAATGGGGAGGCCGACAATGACTGCCTTTATCTTGACTTGAGTTTTGATTTTGCTGCTTTCCTTCCAGACTTGCTTGGCCCCTTCTGTTCCTTTTCTATGGGTCCCCACCTGAAGGTGCCTTAGGTCCTGTGGCAAACTCAGTGGTCCTGTTTTGGGCCAACCTCTGAGGGGACAGGTAACTTTGGGTGATTTAATTGAAGATTAATTTAAACCAGACTGTCTCTTCTAGCCATCACACACTAGTTGTTTTAAAGTTCCTTTCCACTGAAGGTCTTATGCACTAGAGTATGTTTGTCTTTATGTGGTGGATGGCAGAACCTATTTAGAATAGGCAGGTTTGAGGGTCCTGAGGTACCCCTTACCCTGCCCGATAACACTTAGACTGGCTTCCATGCCCACTTGAAGCATCAAAACCCCAAGAATCCTGGGACTTACCAGTGAGAACTGCATGTTCCTTATTGCTCCTTCTACGATCCAGAAAACCAGGGATGTTGGTGCTATGACCAAGGTCATGCCTTCTGTTCAGCATCCTGCTCTATAAGAGAAGGGCAGGTCATTTACAAGCGGTGGGCCTTTCAGTCTCCTTGCTGGTCCAGCAGATCGGCCTGTGAGAGGGGCTTGGCCACATGACCCCTCCTCTAACATTTAATGCATCTGCATGATGTCACTTGTTGGTGTCTTGTGAATGGGATCTTATTCTCCTGCTGTACAGGGATGAGTCTGGAGATGCATTTAGGGATGCTCCTAACTGAGTTTCTTCCACACCACTGACAACAAGGCTTTGAGAGTTACCGACCGAGGAGAGATCTGAGCTGGCAGAATCAAAGGAAGTGGGTTTAGGAAAGGATCCAAATTACGTTGCAGAAGATCCCACGGCTGTTTCCAAGCAGTCAGATACCCCCTTTGATTGAATAGGCTTGTTATTAAAAATGCATTTAAAAAATGAAATCGAAAGCAAATCCCTTCAAATAAGATTTCAGTCTTGTCTCAAATCCAAGGGTTTATTTGGAAGTTCCAGCTTCTCACACTCTGTGCAGAGCTGAGCTAGAAAGACCAGAGCCCCAGGCCCCCAAGCATGGCAAGCCAATGAGGTTTCCTAAAATGTGTGGATGATGTCCCTGCCTTAGTTATTTCCTGGGCTGTTTACATGGCAAGGTAGTCACTCCACTGTGTTCACAGAGTCACTCCATCAAAATCTTCCTTTCCCTAAGGGCTGACCTTGAACTGACAGGGAACTCATGACTTGGTAAGTAGCTTCCTGCTTGCTCCCCTCACACTTCTACTCTCTGTCCCTCCACCCCTAAACTTGGACTCGTTGTTGATCCTCCATGTTGGCTAGATTCCTCCCTATGCGCTAGACCACTTTCTTTTTTTTTTTTTAAGATTTTCATCCACTGGTCTCTTACACCTTTCTTATTAATGTTTCTCTTTTTCTTTTTTTTTTAAGATTAATTTTTTATATATACAAGAGCCAGGGTACAGGCCAGATGCACGGGAGGGTGAGAGGATTCACCAGAGACAGAGTAGGGAACAGAACAGGCAGACTGATGAAATACACTGCTGAGGGGAGCAGCGGGAGAGACAGGAGAGGTCTGCTCGCCATGTGGGTTGCTCTGAGGCTGGTGGGGATTGAACCGTCACTGCAGAGACTGCGGACAGCTTCGCAGCGCTGCACTCAATCCCCTGTGCCACCAGGGAGGCCTTTGTGCTAGACCACTTTCTATAGAAAGCTCTTCTTTATTGTATTAGGAAAAAATACCATGCCACTTTCTTAGGGCCAGGAGGATCCCCTTATCTGCTACCCCTTGGGAAGCAGAGGCAGGAGGGAAGGAGCCAGGGAGGCATGCCAGCCAGTACAGTGTTAACTTTAATCCTACTAATTCCAATTCCACAATGAAAGGCTCAGTTCAAGATTTGATTGAGGTGAGTTGAGGTCAAATAAGAGAAGGTTTCATTCAGCCTCACGTCATTTATTCATCAAATATTCACGGCCAGGCACAGAGCTTGGGACTGGGGGTCAGAGGAACAATGCTTGGTTCCTGCCCTGTAGGGAGACAAACAGAAACAAATAGGACACAAGGACAATATACGCAATCAGTTCTGAGGTAAATGTGTATATGCTGAAGCCAAGAGAACAAAGGAACAGCGGTAACTCTGGGGAAGGGACACAGAGGCAAGGGGATCAGAGATAAAACTGACTCTTGAGCTGGGTTTCAAAGGCTGAGTAGTAAACTCATGGCAATAAAACTATGGAACTGATTACCTCCCAGGGCAAGTCCAGCAGGAATTGTCAACGGATTCTGATAGGATTTGGAGAATGTATTCAGTATCGCAGGAAGAAGTCTAGACTTAACATCTGGAGGTGAGGGTCCAAGCTCTGTTTGCCAGATGGAAGTTATTTAGCATCTTTGTGCCTCAAGGGTCTCATCTGTAAAATGGGAAGTAAAGAAACAATGAGGTCCAGTCCATCTCATGGGAAACAGGTTGCTGGGAGGATCAAAAGTACAACCCATGGAAATCTGCCTGAAAACTGAAAGCTGTTCAGCGCAAGGCAAACGTAAAGGCATTTTGAGACATTTTATTTGGAAAAACTTCGAACTTACAAAAGTTTCCAAACCTAAAAATGGTATAAAGAACATCCATAAATAGCTTATCCAGATTCACCTATTATTTAGTTTGTACCATCTACTTTATTATTTATTCTTCCTTCCCTCCCTCCCTCCTCCCCCTATATATATATATATATATATATATATATAGAGAGAGAGAGAGAGAGAGAGAGAGAGAGAGTATAGTTTATAGTCTCTATATAGCCATGTATACACACACACATAGTTATATATGTGTATTCTATACCTTTTTTCTGAACCATTTGTGGTAACTTACATATATTTTGACTCTTTTTAAAAATTTTTTAAAGGTTTATTTTATTTATTTATGCATATAAGAACTGGGGTGTAGGCCAGAGGGGTGGGAGGTGAGAGGATTCACCAGAGACAGAGTGGGGAGCAGAACAGACTGATCTACTGCAATACACTGCTGAGGGGAGCAGTGGGGAGACAGGAGAGGTCTGCTGTGCCATGTGGGTCAGCTCCCTGGCCAGGATGGAACTCATACCACAGTGGCTGGAAAGAGCTTGCTAGTGCTGAGACTTAACCACTGCGCCGCTGTGGAGGCCCTACATTTTGACTTTTTAACACTTTAGTTTCCTAAGAATATGGATTTTATCTTATATTCCACGTTAGAGTTATCACTTGATAGATGTGCATGGTCTAATAGATCATCCATATTACAGTTTTTTCACTCGACCTATAGTAGCATGTCCTCCTCCTATATAGGGTCTTCTCTAGGGTCAGGCATTGCATTTGGCGTTCCACCTCCTTAGCTTCCTTTAATCTGAATCATTCCCACAGCCTTGCTTTGTCTTGTAGGATACTGACATTTCGGAAGAATGCAGTGCCCCCATCTTGTAATAGAATATTTCTCGTCTTGTGCCTGTGTGATGTTTCTTTTTGATCAGATGGGAGTTGTGCGTTCTTGATAACAATATAATGTCTTTCTTGATAACAATATAATGTCCCTGGCAAAACAATAGGCAGCATGGACTGACATGTCCCCGACCTTGGACTTCACTTCTTCAGGCTCAGCAGTCCAAAATACCAGCAACAGAATGGAGTCTTAGAAGTGATATCTTAGGGGTGCCGCTGGGCCTGGGACCTGGGTGGCAGGAGTAAAGCGAAAGGCCAGGATGGCTCTTGTTCACATGGGACCCCCTGCAGGGTCTCAGGAATTTGTGGGAGCAAAGACTCCCTAAAAGTCTGGATTTCCCTCTACCACATGGCTGGGGACTTGGGTATCCAGGCGAATGGGGTCACCTTTTGACTTCCTGGTTGGGGAGGCCTGTGACATTCAGATTGTATTTGGAAATGGCATGTCTGCAGAAACCACTGGTGCCTGCCCCCTCCCCGCCTCTGCAGCCTCTGCCAGAGGGTCAGTTTGCATCTCACAATTGGCATTTTCTCCTTTGCTCTTGCGTTTGTGCCTTATGCTCATTCTGCTGTGCTCACTCCACACCCCTGTGGGCAGTGCTGTCTCTTCGCTTCCCCTGTGTCCCCACAACAGGCCTCTGAACTCAGTCAGTCAGGTCTGGGCTTCCCATGTCCTCTTTGGCTTGTCGCTCCTAGTAACCGGTGCTCGGATCATGGCCTCTGGTCTTAGACTGCAGGGCTCAGCCAGGGAGGAAGGACCAGGGCCACCCAGTTTCTATGTCCCCACCTCATGGACACCTTCCCTGGTCCCTTATTGAGACAGCACCCCTGTCACCATCCATCTACTTAACTGACTCAGTTTCCTTCAAAGCACCTTCACTCCCATAATTAGGGCTTTATTGTCTCTCTCCCACTAGAAGCGGGGTCCGTGAAGGCAGGATTTCTGTTTTGCTCACAGTCCACGCCTACCATAGCACTGGTGGGGCCACGTGAATAAAACCTGCCCTGCTAACAATACCAACAGGAAAACTGCGTGAATTTTTCTAGGCTCTCTTAGCCTGAAACAGAATTTAGTCATTTAGCCTTCTCTGTCTTCAAAAATCTATTCAAATTTCCTCTGTGATTTGAAGTTCTCTCCTCCTATCTTTGCCCAGTGCCAAATCCCTGGATGAGGGAGTTCTTGAAACAAAAACAATACTGCAAAAAAATATATGTACCCCATGTTCATTGCAGCACCAGTATGATATCTAAGACCTCCCAGTGTTCATTGGTGGATGAATTGGTAAAATTGTGATCTCTATATTTTATCTATATATTGTATATATATATATACATATACACACACACACACACACATATAATGGAATATAACTTGGCTATAAAGAAGAATAAAATCTTGCATTTGACAAGATGGATAGACACTGAGGGCATTATGCTAAGTGAAAGAACTCAGATAGACAGGGAAAGGCAAATACCATATGATTTCACTCATATGTGGAATTGTTCCCCCTCCCCCCAAAAAAATCTAAACTCATAGATACAGAGAATAGAATGTGGTTTCCAGAAAAGGGGAAGGGCGATCAAAAGTTACAAACTTCTAGATATAAGTAAATTCTGGGGATGTGATATACACCATGGGGACTATTGTTAACAATACTGTAATGCATAATTGAAAATTTCTAAGAAAGTAGATCTTAAAAAATTCTCATTGCAAGAAAAAATTTTTAAGTCTGTGGATGAACGTTAACTAGGTTTATTGTGTGATCATTCATTTCACAATATATGCAAATATCAGATCATTATCTTTGCCACCTGAAACTAGTGTAATATCAAATGTCAATTATACCTCAATTAAAAAATAAAAAGAGGGGCCTCCCTGGTGGCGCAAGGGATTAAGACACAGCACTATGAAGCCATCTGCAGCCTCTGCAGCACGAGTTCGATCCCCGGCCAGGGAGGTGACCCACATGGCGCAGTAGAACTCTCCTGTCTTACCCGCTGCTCCCCTCAACAGTGTATTGCAGTAGATCAGTCTGTTCTGCTCCCCACTCTGTCTCTGGTGAATCCTCTCACCCCCCCACCCCTCTGGCCTACACCCCAGTTCTTGTATGCATAAATAAATAAGATAAATCTTTAAAAACGAAAAAAGAATATGGGGGGAGGTTCTGGAGCCATGCAGTATGTGCAGCTACTTCCAGGCCATGTTGCTTGTGGTTACTCACCTTGGTTAATAAGGAAAATCAATGTCACCTCAATAAATATAATTTTAAAAAGATAAAAAAGGGAAATAAAGAAATGTCAGCTCATTCATAAAATGATAGCACATACTACCACTTAAAATAAAGCACAACTCACAAATGTGTTTTGATTGGCAAGACCTGAAAATTGGAGTGTTTTGGGTTCTAGTGAGCCCCAGCTTTTGTCTTCTTAATGGAAATAGCAGCTGAGCCAAAAAGAATTAGGCTCCACATCTAATGAGGGTACATAAGGGCCAAGGCTGGGGAGGGCAGGGTAGGGCAGGATGGGGGATCAGTCCAGGGTCTGGCTCAGGGAGCTCTGACTGCAGAGAATTTAGCAGCAGCAGCAACTGTCATCAAGGGAAATTCTAGCCATCAATGATAAAATTCTGCTGCAAAGTCTTTTGTTGATCTAAGTTCTAAATAAATGTGACAATACTTTTGAGTGTTATTAATATATAGGTAAGCTTCAAACTAGCACAATGGTATTCCTTATTCTTTGCTTGACACGGGTTGCACAGGGAAGTTAATGCAGACAGTTCCCAGGGGTTCAGCAGACCCTTAAACTCAATGGACTCAGTTCTGGAGTCAGTTTGTAATTGTTTGGAACTAAGTCGGCTGCAGGTGGCGTTTGTCTCCACCCCTGGGCACTGCACATTCTTGCATTTTTTTAAAATTATTTTTTTTAGTAATTAATTTTTTAATATTTTTATATCGTTCATTTTTAAACAATATTTGCTCCCCCCACCTCCTCAGGTGTAGTCCCCATAGAGTTTCCTTCACCAATGCACCCGTGCACCATTACCTCAGTCAAACAGTAGCCCGCTCTGTCAGCAGTGCCAGCAGAGCAATTTTAAAGAAGCTGCCTAACCGAGTTCCTTGCATGCTGTTGCTCAGTGTGGCCACTTGCCATATTTAGTTTTGTTTAAAATTTAAAACAGCAAACAAAATATAAACTGTGATGTATAGCATTTTTCTTGGTAAGTGCAAATTTTAGATCTTGTGTGAAATATTTTGCATAATTGAAATATTTTTAAAATCAGAACTTATTATTCTTTAAAAAGGAGTAATTGTTAATAGCTTTAAAGCTAAAGAATGAATCCAAAAGATATACTATAACATCACTGATACAGTTTAGTTTTGCCTAAATTATGCTATTTGCAAATATTTGGGTTTTATTAAAATTCACATATTAATTACTACAAAATTATTTACCTAAGATATTATTTTTAATCTTTTTAATTGGGATGATTATATGTATGAGGTTTAATGAAAGAATATTTTCTTTTTTTCCTCTTGCTTGCTGCCTTCAAGCCAGGACATTGGCTTTTTCCTACCTTTGGACTTGAATGGAAATATTGGTTCTTCCTGGACCTTAAACTCACCAGTCTTCAGTTTGCAATTACACCATTGTCTCTTCTGGATCTCAAACTTTCTTATTGCAGCTCTTGGGACTTGCCAACCGCTATAATTGCATGAGTTAATTCCTTATAATAAATCTCTATAAATATGTATGTGTGTATATAAATACCTACGTATATGCACACATATCCTGTTCATTCTGTTTCTCTGCAGAACCCTGGCAGGTATATCTTTGTGCAATTGTCCAACTGGCTCTGAATTCCAACCAGTGGGAAGGGATAAGGGGGAAGGCAGGGCATACACCTTTTCCATAAGGCCTGATCCATGAATCACAAGCTCAC